TTAATGAAATTTGTCCTATTTCATATTATAAATTCCCAATATTCTAATAGAATTACACATAGACCTTTGACATATCAAAAATGATGAAGGAAGTAGTTGGAGTTTGTGTATTGTGATAGTTAAGTTTAAAATTTCATATTTACCTAATTTATTATCTCTTAATTTTCTTCATTCAATCAAATAAACAAAAATGGTCATTCAATTAATAACTTTTTATAAAAAATCTAGATAAGACTCTTCATATTATTTCTAAAGTATCAAGGGTCACTATATCATTTCTTTTTAAAGTATTATAGTTAAGGATGTCCAAGTTAAAAAAAGGACAATTATAGAGTTACGTTTGGACCAGTGCGTATTGCTCACACTGAGTGGTTCCCATTTACCGATATTTTTAAAACAGATTTTCTCGAGGAGTTCAGCTATCACAAATTAGATTTCTTTAGGTTGGGGCGTACAAGACTTGGTTGATCTGTTGGGAGAATTACATTAGGCATGAAGGTATAATGTAATACGAGTAGTTTTAAGAGAAATGTTAGTAGTGGTTGAATAAGTTTATTTGAATCCGTCGAATGAGTCTATTGAAGTCTGTTCTGTTTTATATTATAGATCACTTAGATCTCCTGATATTTAAAATATTACACACAAACTTTTCGAAGTTTATACACGCGTAACACTTAGACCCTTGCTGTCAATGTTTATTAGTAAATTATATCTAGACCCCCTGCAGTTTGTAGGTATATAACACATAAATTTCTCAAATTTAAAATATTACACTTAAATCATTTATTAGTTACAGAACTAACAAAATTTATTAAACGACCAAATTATTTCAATTAAAGATAGAAAATATTGTATCTATTATAATTTGATCCCTTATTTAATTTTTTAATTTTATTCTAATAGATAGTATAATTATATGTTAAATATTATGTGCGTATAAATCTTAAAAAATTTTATGTAATATTTTAAATATCAATGAATTTAAACAATTATCTGACAATGTTCCCAGCTTTTTATTTTTCAGATTAGCTTGTCAACTTTGAATTTGCTAAAATGCTGTTAAATCGTGATTGGCAGTGGTCAAATAAACATGAAACTCAGCTATCAATGTTGATTTATTGCCCAAATTCGACTTGACAAAGACTCGTGACCTTTCAACCAAGACCCGATTCAAATTAAACTCAAATGACATTGAGAGAACATCTTGTTGGACCAAAATAATTTTTTAAGTATAAAAATTTAATTTTGATCGGCTTTGAGCCTAAATTAAAGTGAGACTCGATTATTATTTTGAATAAAATTTCATGGATTTATATTTTACTTCGTGAGAAGAATAATATAATATATTCACTTGCTCAAATTGAGTAAGAAATGAATGAAAAAATAGGCTTCAAAGTGACCCTCTTGAAATGTGAAAATAAAAGAAGTGCAATGTGGGATGTGACACCAATCTCACATTGGTTAAGGAAGAAATTCAACATAAGCATATATAGGCCAAGTTGCTCTATGAGATTGGACCCCAAAGAGTACCACAGTTTTATGAGCAGAGCGAGTACTTACATGCCTTCAGTTTAACAACAAACGTGCGCCGCCCACCCGCCACGGCCTAACCGGGCCAAGCTCGGGTGTGGTTGTGGTTGTGACCAAACCTTATCTTTTTGGAGAAAATTTATTTAATTAATTGGGCGAGAATTTTTTAACTCAAAATTTAATTTCGATACCCTTTGAATCGCATTGGGTCGGGTTTGTTGCCTCCAGACCGAAATAAATTGCGACTGTTCATGGAGAATAGTTACTTAAGATGTCTACTGGTTGTTGTGTCTTGTTATTCTGGGTTGTGTCTTTTAAGTTTGGTGACTGTCCAAAAAATCATTAAGGTGTTTATAAATACCCAGTTCATGCATGTATTCAACAATTAATTCAATTCATCAGTCCGTTGTCGACAATAAGATAAACATTAGAACATATCATTTTCGACATTAAGGCAGTGCATTTAGAGAGTACACAAAACGATTTTGGTTCGCTGGACGAGCAAATTGGAGTGCTACTTCTGTTCGTGTAAAAATCATTGTATTCTGGGAGGCAGATGTTCGATTTTTCATAAGCACCGTGTGTGGGGGCGAAATCTGTTTTAAGGAGATAGTGTCAAACACTAGCCTTGATCTATTTAAAATTCAATAACAGTTTCTGTTCTGCAATCGAGTTAGTATTTTTATTGTTTAAACAAACAGTTACTTGTATCTGTTTGTTGTTACTGTTTTATTACCTTGCTGTAACTCTTTTGTTTTTGTATAACTCTTTACTGTAACTGTTTGTTATATTTTATATGGTTCAAATCAAAAATTTTATAAAGTGATTTTACAATATTTAACACACCTCAAACAACACAACCCGACCCAAAAAAGTTCAATAATAGCACAAATTCCTCTTAAAATATACAATAGGACTTGATCTCAATTGATATGAAGAGCAAGACTCACTTGATACAAATGTTCTTTAAAAAAATTTCTTGCTATCCAATTAAAATATAGAAAACATAAATATTTTATTTATGAATGCTCGGAGCTTATTACATAAAAGTGTATTTGCGAGGTCTTCTGATGGTAAGGAGTATCTTAGTTGAGCGGGAAAAAAATTAGGAGAAATTTTATATTATTCGAATAAATTTATGTGTATCTTAACTAATTCTTTCTCCAGTCCGATCAAAGATAAATCATCCATGTTGGAACTAAAGTATTCATGTGAGATAAATCTTTCATAACCTAACTTTCATGAATTATCAAAATTCAAATTTAAAATATCTGAATTTAAAATTTATCATGATTATTATTTGAATTATTCGTTGAAATTAATGGCGGTACTTTCAAATTTAAATTGGAGAAGACAGAATAGAACAGAAGAGCTCTGCCTCTTTATTTAGTGTAGAATGTAGATTCCTCCGATCCATGGCTCCATCACCAAATTTTTGACCAGCTCATGCCCAGCTAGCTAGCCTCTATGCTAATTAGATCTACAACCATGACGGAGCATCTTAGTGGACCCCAACCATGGATAGAATCTGGTGTACTTGCACATACAATAAATTTGCTGTTTCACCAACAACTGTGCTCTTAAATTTATCCTTCCTTAACTTTAAGAAGAAGTCACGGATAATATGATTGAACTGTAAGTTCAGATGTCATTTAAATTTATTATCTCATGAATACCTCTAATTTCGACATGAATGACTCGTTTTTAGTCGAATTTGAGAAGAGATTAATCAAGATACGCATAAGTTGACATAGACACTCCTGACCATTGAAATAATTTTTTTTTACTATATCTTAATTTAGTTCAAATTATAAAATAAACTAAATTTAATAAGAATTTTAAATGTATTTTACAAATGAATTGAATTCAAATAACGTACACTTGAATACACTTGTGTTTAAAAATAGTTATTAGTTTTAGTATTGCATAACTACGAGAAAGAAGATGAACTACCTAAATTTATTTCTAAATTATATACGCTGCTCTCTTCTAATAGTTTTTTTTTTTTTTTTTTATAAATTTGAACTTGTTTATAGGTGATTTTAACTATATTATGGTGTTTTGTTTTGTTGAATTCATAATAATATAAAGATTGATTATTAATTTCTATGACTTAATATTTAAAATTATTTCTTAGGAATTCAATTTGACGTCGCCTTGAGTTTGACTTGAATGATTATAAATTTATATTAAAATAAGGTTGAACGGGAATCAAAACTTAGCTTCTAGTGATCCACCAATAACAGTTAAGGTTAATCTAAACATACTTAAATCCAAGTTGATTTACACTTTTGCTTATCACTATCTCTTGATAATTAAAAAAAGATTATGATTTTGTATCAAGCCCCACTTTTTTTTTTTTTAAATGTTTTTGAGATTTAGGTATTCTTATTTATGCACCAAACTAACAAATTTTTTTTTTCGTCAAGCTCTCACTAACCAAAACCTATTAATTACCTCGAAAACTTATTGACAACTTCTATCATTAAAAATGTAATAGACAACTTAAAAGGTAGCCCTCAATATAGGAATGAACTGTAAACACAAAATATTATGAGTTTACAGATTTTGTTTAAGAAATTTGAAATAGATAGTTGAGATCCAACGTCGGATCCATCATCATGAGATCAAACACCTAATACCAACAAAAAAAAAATGTAACACACCAAAACATTGAAGTTCAATTCAAAGTTCAAATACAACCATGAGAAAGAGCAATTATTATTTTATTTTTTTCTGTTTTTTTTTGGTCATTTATTTTTTTCTGTTGAAAAAATCAAACTTATCATTCAGCCTTCAGCCTGAGTGGACACGCAGAAACTTTCATACTATACCGCAGAGACGCAGATAACCCTTTCAAATTGTTCTCGAAGAAATTGATATTTCTTTCGAACCAATAGCGACAAAGGCAACCCAACACAATGTAAGCTACAGAAAGGCAGAGAAAAAAAGAAATAGAGTTGAGGGGGTTTTCTCATATTTCTACGCCACAAGAAAATATTTACTTCTCTGAGCTCTGTCAGCCTTTCCTCACAAGAGAAAAACATCAGAATATTCAATCAACAAAGGTAACCCATCTAAAAACTCCAACATCTCAAGTCATCAATTTCTGTATTATCGTATTGATATCAAGATTCAGTTTTTTTTTATTGGATTCGTCTGGTAATTCACAAACGGTTATCTTATTTGATCTGAGAGGATAATTGGGGTTTTCTTATCTGAGTTTGTAATGCTGGTTCTGCGGACTAATTTTGGGAATTAGTTGGACTTGGGTTATGGTTTTTTCTTGATCTGATGGAGCAAATTGTCAATTAGACTGGAAAGTTGGTTTTTTTGGGTTTATATCACATCAATTAGGGTTTGCATGTGTCAGTTGAATGAGCATTGATATTTGGTTATTAGAACTTTGAACTCTCCTAACAGTGGTGGAGTTTGAAGTTTTGAATCTGGATATTGTGAATTGTGAATTTATGGGTTTCAAAATTTGAGGAACACAATTAGGGTTTGAACTTGGTGGTTTATTAAGCACTGACATTGGGGCAGTGAGGGTTTTGCGTATTGATACCATGGTTGGATTTGGGGAATCTTCTGAATCTGGGTCTAGAGGATTGAATTCTCAATTAGTGAGAAATGGGTCTTTTGGGGAAGAGGATGGTTTTCACAGGCAAGTCACTCATTTTGGGGGAGGTGGGTCGAGAAACACCAGCCCGCTGGGCCGAATAGGTTCTAGGAATACGAGTCCATTAGGTCGAATGGGGTCAAGGAATACAAGTCCTTCTAAGCAGAAGGTGATTAAGACCAAACCGCGGGGGTTAGATGAGGAGACAATTGCTACATTTGGTAAAGCTGTTCAACCAGATGTCCATATGGAGGATAATATATGGGCAATGCTGCCTGAAGATTTGCTGAATGAAATCTTAGCTAGGGTACCGCCATTCATGATTTTTCGGCTCCGATCTGTTTGCAAAAGGTGGAATTCTATTTTACAAGATAATAGTTTTCTTAAGTTTCATTCACAAGTGCCTTCTCATGGGCCTTGTCTTCTTACATATTGGAAGAATTCACAGACCCCCCAGTGCTCGGTGTTTAGCTTGCCATTGAAACAGTGGTTTAGGATCCCATTTACATTCTTACCACCTTGGGCTTTTTGGTTGGTTGGTTCCTCAGGGGGCCTTGTTTGCTTCTCTGGGCTAGATGGCTTGACTTTCAAAACTTTAGTTTGTAATCCCCTCACACAAACTTGGAGGACATTGCCGGTTATGCATTATAATCAGCAAAGGCAGTTGATTATGGTTGTTGATCGGACGGACAGATCTTTTAAAGTCATTGCCACCAGCGATATCTATGGTGACAAATCATTGCCAACAGAAGTGTATGATTCAAAGTGTGACAATTGGTCACTTCATCAGACAATGCCTGCTGTTAATCTTTGTTCCTCAAAAATGGCATTTTGTGACTCAAGGTTGTATTTGGAAACACTTTCGCCACTTGGCTTAATGATGTATCGAGTGGACACTGGATATTGGGAACATATTCCTGCTAAGTTTCCCCGGTCTTTACTAGATGGGTACTTGGTTGCTGGCACTCAGAAACGCTTATTTCTAGTTGGCAGGATAGGTCTTTATAGTACTCTTCAGAGCATGAGAATATGGGAATTGGATCATGCAAAATTTGTTTGGGTGGAGATAAGTAGGATGCCACCCAGATACTTTCGATCTCTTTTGAGGTTGTCAGCAGAGAGATTTGAGTGCTTTGGACAGGATAATTTGATTTGCTTCACATCGTGGAACCAAGGAAAGGGCCTTCTTTATGATGTGGATAAGAAAGTTTGGTCTTGGATTGCTGGCTGTGCTCTTCAGTCATATAACAGCCAGGTCTGTTTCTATGAGCCAAGATTTGATGCCTCAATCTATTAATCCGGAAATGTCACCTTATATTCTTGAATAACTATCTGTGACAGATTTTCCAGAGATTTGTAGGAGCTCTCTTAATCATATTCATTATGCATCTGCCTTTTCTCTCCCCTTCCATTCTGCTCCTGTGATGTAGGCAGATTTATCTATGCACTGTCTTCTTCAAGTTGGGCTGCAGGGTAGTCCAATTCATATCATTCGTTTATGTCTGAAGCTCTTTAACATTTTATCGCTGGAATTAGAATGTTGTGGGCATCCTTGGAAGGCAGTCATTGCCGACAATATCTTCTTTTGGACAATTTTTAGAAGCCACATTGTCCTGGGACACGGGAGAATGGAATTTTTGGTATTTAATTGCAATATAGGACAAGGTCACCAGGGTTGGGCTGGTTAAAGGAGTCAATGCATGTGTAAGGACATCTGGGGCGTAATTTTAAGAGAAAATTTGACTCCAATCTTTGTACACTCACTGAAATTGCTTCGCAAATACAAATTGGCTTTCTTGAGTCCTCTTATTTTCCATATATATTTCTGGGATGAGCCACTTACATGATTATGAGATCTGGAGCCCTATTGTATCTATCGTGTGTTTATACTTCACGAATGTAATTTTCTGCCTGTTACCTTTTGCTGATTGGTTTTGCCTTTTGTTCAAGTTTAGATCTGTTGTACATCCGTAAGTTATGGGTTTGAAGTGGTTGAATCTTCCCACAAAAGTTTTAAGCCTTCATGCATGATATAGCTGTTTTTAACTTGAGGGCAAAGGGTTTAGAAGGTTTGGGATGCTGTTCTCTTTGTAGAAGGAAAAAAGAAAAAGGCTGTAGTAAGTCAAAAGAAAACTGGTTTTGGGTCTATGGAGATTATTGTAAAGGGTGGTTGTATCTTACAGCATACTTGCTTATTACTATTATGGATATTATCAGTCCTATAAAATGTTAGTTACTAGAGGACATCTGAGGACATCTGTTGCGAGTGTTGATGGACAAGTTATGATATCTTCTTGAATTTGTGATTATTTGAGTAAGTTCTGCAACAGATGTTTCATGGCCTCAATCACTCAATATATTGTATTCTCTGAGTTGGCATGCACCATTGATGGTTCTTTCTGTCCTGAAATTGGATAGCCCTGATGGCCGTTCAGTTTCTGAACAATGCTGCTGATAAAACAGTTTGGTTTTTGATCCTAATCTTTGGTTCTTAGGATAAGCGAGTCTGATATATTGCTTTAATCCCTAGTTATATCATTTTCCTTCTCTTTCCACCAGATAATATTTGCTATTAAACTGTATTGCAATATTCAGATCAGATCTTGTGATTATTGTCCTGAGCTTTTGATGCTTCCCTATAAAAGTTCAGTAAAGGTAGCCAAATTCTGAGTTAAATTTACCTGTGCATTTCGTTCCCCAGGTGAGAAATGGTTGGAGTTTTCCGCTCTTCCTTTTTATTTCGTCAGGTTACCTTTTTGGGCCTGACTGGGAGCTAGCCTTCGAGATATTCAACTTTGTGTTTAGCAATTATCCCTCACATAAGTATTTGCTTGATCTATACACTAGGCTACAAGAATGTCTTTCTTGTGATGAGGTTGCACCCTTTTACTAGCCTTTGTTTAGAAGCTAAGCTTGAAGAACTGCTGACTTTTGTATGTTGACAGATAACTACGCCCCCCCCCCCCCCTCTCTTTCCTTCTGGCAAGTTCTCTAGTTATGTAGTTGACATAACTTAAGTCCATTGATTTTCCTTTCTTTTGTCACATTTTGCTCAAAGGGTGAAGGTAGATAGTGCATCAAGCTGTTCACAACGCAATAACTTGGCCCGTGCAACTGTTTACCAAAAACACAATTCTCCACAAAGTCGAACGTCAGTATATACACAGGTCTTTGCAAAGTTGTAAAGCTATGTATGGGGACTGACACTTGCCCTTTCATAGGATTTTGTTGTCGAGTATAGTCATGATTTTCTGATTGATCTGTCACTTTCCTTGCAAGCTAGAATGGAAAAATCATTCCTCATTTGAACTTGCGAAGCTCTGAGTACATGACAGGAGTTGGCAACACTCACTTGGACCACTGATCTTAAGCCCCTTTAGGATAATACAGACTACCCCTCAATGTGAGACACCCATGTAAGTGGTGACTTGATTACTGGTTGTAAAACCCCAAACATGGGTCCTCGATAACCATTTGTGATTTTAAAAGTTCTGGCATACAGATATAGGGGCCTGTTAGGCTCCATTGAAGTGTTGGTGAATTGAGTGATATGATCATTGAAAAAAAATCAACCCTCTCGCCACTTCAGATAGCAGTTGATGAAGTCATTCATTGCATAGGTCTGTCAATCGTGTCATGTAAAACGGATTTGTGTTGAATCTTAGCGGGTTCGTATAAAAAAGTATTCAGCCATATTTGATTCGTGTCATATATGAATCGTGTGTAATTGACATATTGCAACTTATTTGCATCAGGAAGTGATCTTTGTTACTTTGATTTTGTAGACGCCCACTGACCACAGGATGGAAGGGTCAAATTAATGAAGTAAAAAGATTATAGATGTTATGCAAGAGAAGCTTCAAAGAAAGAGAACATTAATCAAACTACTTTTTATGGCACACGCGATGTGTCTGTGGATTAATGCGTATATGACCAATGTTGTGTAAAATAAACAAAATTAAGCAAGAAATAGGATAGGAGATAGAAGGGGATGGGGATTATAGAGAGCTTGAGAAAGTATAAGAGTTTGAAACCAATGGAGATAGTAAGCTATTTTAGATCAATTATATAAGATCTGACAAGAGGGGGAATAATCCTTGGGACTGGTTCAGTGGTAAAAAAGATCACTGAACCCCATAAGGGCCCAGCTAGTCCTTCTGATTTATGAGTGGTAAAAAGAAGGGTTCTATCTTTGTTCTTCTGAGATATGCTCTAATCTAGTTCAAGCTCCGATGACAGTTGTTAAGTTCGAGAGAATAGTTGATGCAAGTCTGAATGCTTTGTAACCGAAAAAAAAAGATAAGTGAGAGAGTTAAAAAATTAGAAAGACTATTAGAATAGAGGCATGAAAGAGGGATAAGAGAGCCGTGGGAGAGTGGAGAGTGTCAAAACACTATGCATCCCAAATGGGAACTCAAATGAATAAGAATTCTTGGATGAATGAACTTCGTTGAAAAAAGTTAACGAGACTCACTGATTCACTGATTTCTATGGGTTCGTTTGGTTAGCGGGAGAATAATAAAAAATGTAAGAAAGAGAATTTTTTAAAAATTTTCATAACTTTTTTTAAAATTTTCACAAATAACTAACTTTTTTTTCTTGTAAAAAATATAAGGAAATGCAAGAAAGTTGTGATTTGTAACTAACTTCCTATTTTACCCTTATTTTTCTTAAAATATTTTATTAGTTATTAATTCTAAAAAATTTTGGTATAAATTTAATTAATCATATAATTTAGCCCAAAGACCTTTGTATTAATAATTGTCTTAAAATTAAGTTTCGAGCCATTTTTTTAACTTTTAATTATAATTGCATATTTTGTTTTCTTTTTTAAACCGATTCAATATAATTAAGGGTAATTTAGACAATTATAAAAAATTTCTTATAACTTTTTTTTCTTTCAAATAATAGAATGAAATTTTTTTAAACTTTCCGATAAATTTTTCATTCTAACCAAATATATATATAAAAATATATTTTCTATTATTTTCTTTTCTTTCACTTCACTTTCCATCATTTTTTTCTTTTTAATCAAACGACTCTATTAATTTGAGATTTCTACCATTACTCATAAATTAACTACTAATAAAGCGAGAAGACACCAAACTCATATCCTCTCATTTTATTAATAGTATAGATGTTAGAATTAAGGATACATTTTAGGTGATATATATGATCATGAGGACAGATATCATGAAGTTTGTGGTACACATGTGACTATGTCCTTTTAAAGCCCAACAGATTTTTATTTCTTTGTGGAATTTGGCATTCCTAGAACAGCCAGCTCAACACACACACATACAGAGAACTTATCAACATGATAAAGGTGGAATCTCCATGGTACCTCAAAAACTTCAAGTCCGTACAGAAGGACAATTTCTAAACTTCTTTCATTAGGGCTCATCCTACTTTTCCACGTATTTAAGCACTTCGAGCATCTTAATTTTTTTTTTTCATCTCATGAAAAAAAGTTGGAGGGGACAACTGGAGTAGAACCTATACCTAGGTGTAATTATAGTAATACGAACCGACAAAGAGAAATTCATTGGCGGAGTTAGATAGTAGAAAATCACAGACATTCTTAAAAATTGACTCGAATAATAACTTAATCTTTGTACTATAGAACTACGAGTAAGAATAATGAGAGTCTCCGCGAATCAAACCACGCTCGATAGGAGATATTGTCAATCATTGGACCACCAACCCGATGGTTTGAAATCTTAAATCATATTGAAGTTTTCACATTGGTTTTTCAAAATTTTTTTGGGTTGATCATGCAATATCCACGACCATTTGAATTGTTGCAGTAAATTGTTATAAAGACAAGGCATTGGTACTTGGAGCCTCACTTTTTTTGGTACACGCTTCTGGTACTCTTTAATTGTTGTTTGAACGAGCCATTGTCATGCTGATAACAATGGAGGACTGAAAATGGAAGAAAGGCTGTTTTAAAACATTAAATTAAAAAAATAAAATAAAATTACAATGAATAGTTTTCTTGCAGCTGGGCTGGGCTTTTTGTAGAGGACTATGATTTAAACTCAGGACAGTGCCAAACTCGGGGAAATCATTACAACAATTGTTTTAAGAATAGCAGAGGTTGAGTCACCAAATTTCTGGTTTTATATTCATCCATATTAAGGGCGGGTCTTGCGGTAAGATTATTTTATTATATTACTTGGAGGTCACAATTTTGAGTCATGGAAGTAGCTTCTCTGTATGTAAGAGTAAAATTTTATATATCTAATCTTCCCTAGATCCTATAATAATGAGAACCGCATGTACTAGATATGTTTTTTTTTTAATTTTTTATATTCATCCATCTGACTAGTTGTTTGAATTGCCAGACAAAAATAATATCTAATGTACTTCAAATAACATTAAACTAAACTAAATTAAAAAGGGTTGTACTCAATATATTAAACTCCCATTTATAATTGTTGTCCGAATTTAGTATTGACAATTTACGTGCAAATATACACGATCAACAAGTAATAAAGTGATAAGTAGAGTATTGTTCTCACGGAGAATTATTAGTAATAAATTCCAAGTACTAACTTTATATCAATTCAATTTTATTTAAACAATTGAAATTGAGCTATGAAATTACTAATTAAAACTAAATCTAAACTTAACAATTAAGGGCTGACTAGAGAAAAGAAGTTAAGATTACAACTTTCCCTAATACTTCGTATAAATCCCTCTTACTCTCTTTCCAGTTAATTGACCAAAATAAGTTGTTAAATGAGAACTCAAAGTTATTTATCAAACCTCTTCCGATAGTTAGATTAAATTATCTATTCCAATTAAATTACTATATTCTTATGCAAAATAAGTTAGAATAGATTCATTAAGTTCAAACTCTCATAAAAGTTACACATGGCGTATAGGTATATTTCTGTCCTATACACAAACCCAACAATTCAATTCTAAGAAGAATTAACCAGACGTATGTCATCATATTTAGATCTAAACCTAAAATTCATCTCTCAATTTCATCTAGGTTATCAAACTAATTGTTGGCCACACAATCATATATTAATCACAAAATATGACAAACAACTCATATAAGATCAATAAGAACTAGAAACGAGAGTAGATTAATTTAACTACATAGGTTCCGTTGCAATCTTAATAAAGATTTAGTTCATAATGTAATTGAAAGACATCATTCTAAAATTAAACAACATCTTAGAAAAACAAGAAGTAAAGGTAAGAGAAAAGAATAAAAATTTAGTTATAGTCTCCAATCCGTCTCTAGCCTTCAAGTCCAATATTCTTCGTGTCGATTTCTTCGATCCGTGCCTTCAATTTTTTTTCAATTCCTTGGTTGTTCTCTAATATTTTCAGCCCCCAAAAGTCAAAATATCTCATTCCCACACAAACCCTAGTATATATATAGCCTTAGGGTTAAATATTTGGGCCCAAAACAAGTCAAAATTCGCGTCACG